CACCGGATACCACCCGGATACCACCGGATACCGCCCGGATACCACCCGGATACCACAGGATACCACCCGGATACCACCGGATACCACACGGATACCACCGGATACCACCCGGATACCAGCGGATACCACCCGGATACCACTTGTATATTTTTTGGCCTGGGCAGATGTATAGACGGTACCAAAGCCTCTGGGAATCAAAGGGCTGATGCTAGAGCCGCGATGTTGCTGGAACGTGCGGCTGGGCCGCGTGCGGGGACCGCAAGGTTCCTGCGGCTTGCCGCATACGCAACATCCCTGCTCAACAAACAGGAAAAACAAACAACGTCGTGGAAACAGCTACGCAAACTCACGTCAACAAGTGCATGAACAGATCTTTCAATACAAAAATAGAGAAAACAGGTTCCTGCGGCTTGCCGTATACACAACTTCCCTGCTCAACAACACAAAAAACAAGGGACACGGAAACCTCTATGCAAACCCACGTCAACGACTACATGAGCTTACAGCATCAAAAAAATCAATGTTTTCATTAAAAATATAGGAAAAACAGGTCCTGGGCATCATTTTTTCTGACATGTGAAAAAAAAGATGATTTTCAGACATAAAAAACTAACTTCCGTAACTTTTTTTTAACTTACCGTGGTCCTTACTTACAACTAAGTTATAACTAACCATCTAAGATGTAACTTACATAGAACTACCGGTGAGACTTAATTTAGTTACACCAAGTTACAACAAGTTAAAACCATAGTTACACCAAGTTAAAACCATACATAGGATACTTACAAGTAGTCTAACTAGGGGGGCCCCATGGTGTGCGACGAACGCGAGGCTACCCAACGGCGATCTCTTGATTGCCTGGGCGAAGCGGGCATCGAAAACCGGGAGGTCCAGTATTCGACAAACCCAACGATCGGGCAGTTGAGACATGCTGAAAAGAAACTCGAACCACAACACTCGAACGAGGTCAATCGAACCAGTTCGAAGCGAGTGCAACGATCGATCCAGCACAAACAACTCCCACTGAAAACGTCCAAGCCTCCTGATTAGAATTTATGTGAATCAAACATGAACTAGTTGCAAGATCAAGTAAACACCGACTGGCAACAGGAGCTACTATCATGCCAAAGAGTGCGTTGGCTCCTCCTACCTGAAAAGGCTAATGAGTGCCAACTCCGACTCTGGCTAGCGAGCCCCTGAGCCCCCGCAACCCAGCCCACTGAGTATCTTGCCTCACGCGATTCCGGATCGGGGCAAGAGACCAAGGGCCGATCGGCGTGCTCGGTGCAATGATCATGCACTCAAAACGGGCAGCACAAACCCTGAGAAGAGGTCAAAAAGGAAATCACCAACACGACCGACAAAGTTGAGGTTGAAATAAAGTCGCACGAGCGTGGTTTCATCCTCCTGTCGGCTGGTTGACGAACCTGCCAATTGATCAAATTTTGCCAGAAAAAAGAAAATCACACATCGGTAAAATTCTCTGGCTGAGCGGGCTTGAAAGACTTAGGCTCTCCAGGCCGGTCGACCGACTCGTCAGGGATTTCATCAATCCTGACTTGAGAAGTCTGGTGTGACCGAAATGGTCGAGGCCTATTAACTGCACGAGCTGACTCTACGAAGGCCTGCGGCGTCATCGCCGAGTGGTCGAGCGCATCTGCACGTCTCTGCTCGAGCGATCGCCGGGACGGAGCCAACGTGCCCCCCATCCACGATCCTGCTGCTGGAGCTTGCCCAGGTGCAGTTACCGAAGGGACCGCTGAACTCACCGGATTCGGAACTGAGGCCGCACCAGCCGTAGTCGAAGGACCAAGGAGAGCTGGAGCCAGCTTAGGAGCCACTTCTGCTGACCGGACTGCCGGACCGTCAACAAGAGGCGGCATCACTGTGGCCAGGACTTCGTCGAGCGGATCATGGCTCTGCAATGCGAGCGCTTCTGCCTTGACGATGACCCGCTCCTTCTTGAAAAATGGGCTCTCACTGACCAGGTGCGCGTTCATGGCATTGGACTCCACAGCGATTGCCGAAATGCGAGGGCCAGTCTCCTCTGCAGTCGTGGCTTCAGTCTTTGCCGTCCAATGAGCGTGTACTGCGGCCAGTTGAGCAAACTGAAGAGCTTGATCTGGGCATTCAACTCTGGCTCCGTGCTCACGTCCCCAGCTGGCACTTCTGATCAAAGTCGGACCAGACACTCTGCTGAACGCCAGCCACGAAGGTGGGATGGCTGCTGAGCTCACTGCCACATCAATGCGATCGCTAGCTGAGAGGAACCTCATTTCTAAACGATCTGCATCTGCCCCGAACGAGTCGGGGGATGAGGTCGCAACAAAGCGACATTCAAAGTGGCATAATGGAAAATCCAATGCCACCACGACACCTCCCTCGGAGCATGCGTACAGGCGACCGCCTACCTCGAATGAGCAAGCGATCACTCTCCAGCCCTGAAAAACCGTCACGACCACGGATGGGATGAAAACCGTCTCCGACAAAATCGTGTGGATCGCGTCCGCGACGTGCCAGAGTTGGATTGCCATATCGTGGTCTGAACGATAACCACGAAGTTCGAGGTGAACCAGCAGGTGACCTTCTAGCTTGATTTTCACATCGACCCATGTAGGACTCGATTCGGTCATGGGAGGCCATCTGAATGGCTGAAAAGCCGCATGGCTCAAAACATCTCCTGTCAGAGCGTCCCATCGAGCGCAGGGTACACTTGAGTAGCATGTTGCGGAGCCGCACAAGGTCACCTTGACACCGTCGAGGGTGCGCACCATGAAGATGTTGAAATGATATCCTGTAGAGGGAGTCCTCACTGAAGATCGATCAGACTTCACGTTGACATAGGACAACGCGTTGGTCAAGACCTCGTCGATCAGCCACCCTTGAAAAGGACTCTGAACCCTATTGTCGCGATTGTCCAAAATCAGGATAGATCGTTCGCCTTCATTGGACCCAATCTGGGACAGATGTCCAGGCAGTTGGCTATTGAGGGGATTCCTTGCAAGATCTGCAGGTGTCATCTGGCCCCGCCTGAAGGCTCTTCGTCCACGGCGAGCTGCCGCTTCTTGCTGCCTCCTCAGCCTGCGAGATGCAGGGAACTCATGAGCATGATCAACAATGCTTTGAGCTGCTTGTACTGCTGGAGCGGCAGGTTGTGGAGGTTGAGGTACAGCACTCGACTGAGGTACTGGAGGCGGTGGTGGAATGTTCACCACAGGCCCTTTTGGCTGATGAGCCTCTTGGTCCGTTGGCCGATCGGCCTCTTCAGAAACACCATCAAGTGTCTGAGAGAGGGCTGCGGCACTTGTTTCTTCTTCAAGGCGAACCCATGAGCTGACAGAGCTGTTGTCGTCCCATCGAGCGGAAGCATTGAGCATCTGGCGCTGCAAGGCCGCAGGTGGTGGTTTTGCCTTGGGCTTCACAGCAGCCGGCATCGCCTTCGAAGGAAGAGGCTGATCAGCCATGGCTCTCTTGCGATCCCAGGCCCTGAAAAGTGATCTTCCTGGCGATCGCACTCTTTCGCCAAAATGGCCGGCGACGAGTGTCGATACACGATAGTTTCAACCGATTGGTTTTCACAATGAAAAATAAACATCCAGCTGAACAGCATTCTCTACAAGTGACCCAGGTGTCCCAGACCTACCTAACCAACAACACCTGACCCCAACTCATTGCTGGTCCGGTTATGATCCAAAGCAAGCCATCGCAGCTAATTGGATCTAATTGGCTCATGGGACATTTCTGGGCCGCGGCAATGCCAATGTGTCTGTAAAGGGGGCACCTGCTTGAAAAATGTTTCCTCTTTTTCCCATCTAACCAGAACTGAATCAAAATGTTCAGAGCTTCTCACCAATCGGCATACGCCTGGTCAGACTGTCCGGCTTCCCCCGGGTTTCCGGATCCCGAACTGGACGAGTCGACGGCCCGTCGGCTGAGTCGACCACCGGTGTACTCAGTGCGCCTCTCAGTCCGTCCGACCCGCTCGGTGACACCCGCTGGAAGGAGGGTCCGCCGCTGGATGGATACTCCTATGATAGATCATAGATCTAGTAAGGTGGTGTATGAACCATCCCATAGCATCAGCATGAACCATGGATGTTCGTTGAATTTCTTTCAATATGCCAATCTGCACTCGGATCAAACCCCAGTCAGTTTCCTGCCTGCAGCTGACCAGCAAACGCAAAGAAGGCTCCTGTGCACAGTCGCAAGCTGAAGGCAGAACGGGAGACTGTGATTTGCACACCTTCGCATCTTGACACAAACACACGTCAACAAACCTCGACTCTAGGTCATCTCATTGATTGCTAGGTTCTTGGAACTTCAGAAGTTTCATGTGTTTCATCGGAACTGATCAATAGCTTCAGAAGTCCATAGCGTTCAGTCCCAGTCCACATGCTCCGAAAGGAGGCCTGAGCCATCCCCCCTGGCTTACAGGATGGCATCACAAGCGTGGGACTCCAGCGGTTGGCGCGTTTGAGGCTTTGTCCCCATCGGCACGCAGCCTCTTGAGGATCTTGACTTTCAGCCGTCCAGAAGGCGGGGTGGAGATCAGGTGGGCATGGGTCTTGTTCAAAAAAATCACATGCTTGTGTCTCCAGTCCTGAATCGGACCTGCCCTCCAGCCCCTTTGTTTGCCCCATGTGGACATGCTTCTGGGCAACCACAGCTCTACCCCAGCCAAGACGACCTGCCCCTCATGGGTTGATCACCCTTGGCTTCGCAGGTGAGGAGCAAGTTCAGGAGGAAGCTTTGCTGAAGCTTCAGGACTCATCAGAACTCTCCTGAGGACGAAAAGCGGCAACTCTCTCCCATCTTCTTTTGGAGGTCAAATGAAAAATTGAGGCGACTTGGGGGGAAATACATGTTGGGAAATCCAGGTCCGCAAAGTTGCAAATCTCTACCATCCAATCCAGCTCACATCATGGAGGTCCAATGTTTCAGGCGCTGCTCGCAACGGGCATCCGAGCCTCGGAGGAGCAGCTCTGCTCGGTGCTCGGTGGGCAGAAGTAGGTCCACAGCTGCTGGGCAGTGCTCACCAGCAGAAAGCCCACCAGAACCTGATGGCATGCCCACCAGCACCCTTGCCCTTTTCTGGGACCACCGAGGTGGTGTGGATGGGCAGGCGGGTCCTATGCCGCATCGCTTCAAAGACGCTCAGAAAAAAGCTGTGGAGGGGTGCCAACCTCAGAACTGCTCGCAAACACTAGGCCTGAAATGAACATAGCACGTGTCACAACCGAGGTTATTGTTGACCAGCTGCTCCAAAAGAGCGCTAGAACATAGTGCAAAGTGTGAATGTGTGTCTTCAATGTTTTGTCCATGGACAACGAGAACCTGGAAGGGTCTTGTGTCATTGATGAGGCACGTCAGGTCTTTTCATAGCTGCCCAGTCAGCCAAGTCGCAAGTAAAGAGCCCAGGATGTACCTTGGCTTGTCTGGGCCCAGGCCCGAGGCTGTGCCACAGTGCCTACGGAATTTGAAAGTTCCAAAGTATTGGTGCACTGCAAAAAGCACCTAACTGGTTCCTTTCTTATTCTACAAAAGCCGCTTGAGGCGGCTGGTGGAATTGAGAGCCGTCCTTATCCCAGGAATCCCAAGTAGGCTTCAGTTGGAGATGGCCTGCGGACAGCTTGAGCATTTCAATATCCATCCCCTTGTATCCCCTTGTACTTTGGCCAGGATGGCATGGATGTTGACCTTCTCGTTGCCCAAGCATAAGGGGCGTGTAGAATGGTGCAGATATGCCGATATGCCTCATTATTGTTACCCTCTGACACTATCATGCTTGCGTGGAATACAGCCTGTGAAAATAGAGGAATTCAGTCTTCCTGAATTTCGGGGCCATCTTCCACGTAACCATGGACCTGTTGGATGGAGGGTATATGGTTAGATGTCCTTGTGTTCCTGGTCCTCCACCGTATTTCATCTTTCGGGTGGCTGCAGGTCAAAGCTCTTCCCTCGCAGCAAGGCATCTGAGATCATCCCAAATGGCACGGTGAGAGAGAGCCCCAGCGTCGCCTGAATCGGATGGATTCTCACCCGCCCCAGCGCCCGGATTGGTGGGCTTGCTCACTTTCTGACGAAATTGGAAGGGTTTCTAGAGTTTCAAGATTCTGACTGAATCAACAAGCAGAGGTCATTAGACATATGCAATTTCCTGAAACTGGACCAACTGCTCCAACCTGAAACCATCTCTCCGTGGTCCTCGCGGTGCGGGTTTGCATGGCACGGACCCCAAACGGTCCGACCCAACGGCACGACCAACGGTACGAGGCTCTGTCAGCGGCGTGGTCAGTTGTACGGCATAGGCCCAGAGGACATCGCTCAAGTTGGTGCCGATCAGGGCCTGGGCGACATCCCGCCCATGTGGCCCGATCTGAGTGACCCGAGATGAAGGACATGGGCACAAACTGGTTGTTCAGGTCGTTTACATCACGAAATGGTGCCCAATGTTGGAGAACCACCTGATCAACCTACAGAAAACTATCTTTCATCAGTGCTGCACATTTGGCCACCTTCGGCCCTCCCCGCCCTCTTTACACGACACGTTCGAGCTTTTCTCTGGATACCCCACTCACAGGTCGGATATGCCCCCCCCCGACAGCACCAGGCCACATTCAGCACCAGAGATCCCAACACTGACCTGGACGGGAGCTCAAACTCCTGGCACCGAAACCACGGCGGTGCTTTCGCGACCCGGCCGCGAAAGACCCGGGAGAAGAGCGGACCCGAGTGGACATGGAAAACATATCCATCTGCGAAGATCTTCGAAATCGAGAACGGCGGGATCAGGACGATCGGTAGGTCCAGGTAGCTGTGGTTCCGGCTTGAGACTCCACTGCTCCACCGGCACCCTCTCCTCCCATCTGATAAAGTCGAAGAGGATCAGCAAAGGCCAACCACAGACTAACACCAGGAAGCCAATGCAACCAAACCTCAGGGTCTAGATGCGTGGCCGACGACTTTGGATCCCAAAGTCGTAACATATTGACAACAACATGTGGAACTCAAACAAGGTCATGGATGATAATGATGGCTACATTGCATGATGGAACTGCCAAATTTCAGGCAATCAGATTATATGTCATTATATCTTAAAGGATCTAGCTTTGGGGGTGCGAGTGGGAGCCGGAGCAAACTCGTCGACACCGACCGGTGCAAAAAAGTTCTGTGAGAAGTACTGAATTGGTTCAGTTCCAACAAAGCACCAACACAGTTACAAACTCCAATTCTTCCAAAGATCTTGATCATGGGATGCCCAAAAACAGGGCCCTTTTCATCCCCCACACTTCCGCTGGACCGGGAATCTGCCCAACAAACAGTCCCGCAGAGTTCAGGACCAAGGTCCGCCGTGATCTGTCAGGTCCGGGTGGCAAAGTCGGCATGGCCAAGGCCTCCTCTTTCTCGGGGATGTAATGCCTTGCCGACGAAACGCGCCGACCGGAGGGGAGCCTACACCACGTTGAAGAATAGGTGGGTTGCCAACACCACTCAGCCTACTAGAGGAAGTTCAACATTTTAATAACTATCCGGTGAACTTTCTAACTCAAACATGCATAATGTAGCCACCTGATGGAACTCCCCACCCTTCACTGCATCATGCGAGTTCCTGCATCTTCCTGCCGTTGTCAGTTGCACCCATGGACCTGTTTTCTTCCAAGTGCCGGGACCGCCGGTCCAGCGACGCTGGACACTGTACATCCGGCGATCCGAAGTTGGATTCACCAGGAGGATCTACAAAGCTCAGCCCTCGCTTCAGATCCAAAGCTCATGCGACCCCGACCTGAAGCCCAAGTCGCTCAAAATGATCCATTGGATTCGTCGTCTTCTCACGCCCGATCTTGGCTCATGAACCCTGCAAAGCTCGACCCTTCGGCGCACCTTTCGGGAAAAGGCGTCCGAACCGTCTTCGGTCCGAACCGCCCGAATTCACAAGCTCACCGTTCCCACGGATTCCGGCATCGTCTCCGCAAGCGGCGGGAGAGTCGCCGCGGAGGGTGCGGCGGCCACGGTCGTGGCCGGTGGCTCATCTTTGGAGCAAAGTGGGACAGTGGACATGATGACAATCAAAGCAACTTGCAGAGCTGAGAGTATCAGTTTCGAGGTGGCAAAGTAACTGCCACCATGAATCTCCAGATCACGGACTGCGATCACGATGAAAGGGATATCTCCAAGCAGGACCCGCCCTATCTTGTCCCACACGTACTTGCTCTGAAGCCTCTTGATTGCATGAACATCCCGTCGAAACAGGGTGATGGCCCCGAGGATCGGGACGAAGAAGCAAGATGACACTCGGATGTTCTGCGCGTCCGCAAGCCCTCTTTCATCCATCGGCGGGGTGGGGTTGCAACACTCACTATATGGTAAGAGGGCGAAGCCGTGACATAGGAGGAATTCTCCCGCACACAGAAGGCTCAGGGCACTTGCGGGTCCACCATGAAGTCCGATGACCAAGGATATGATGATGCAACAGTGGCCCAGAAGATATGCGAACGGCACAAAGCAGCACCCCAAGCAGCAGTTGCCATAGAAGTTGCTGGCGTCGTCAATTTTCTCCCACTGGTTCTGAAGCCACCAGTGCAAGATCCAATTGGTCATGCCAAAGTGGTGGCAAAGGTCGGCCCACATACACATTGCTCCAAATGAGGCAAAGGCAGCCCAAAAAAGATCTGGTGCTCCTGCTGATCGACCAGCCTGGGCATAAGACTCATAGAGATAGAGCACGACTGAAATATGATTGATCAATTCGAGCACATGTGCAAGGAGCATCAGCGGCTTCACCGCAGTGCCCGGCAGCATCGTGCGCCTTCTAGAGCCTAGAGCCTACCAGCATACGCGTACACCGATGTACCCACCCACTGCGAGTCTCGATCACAAGGGCTGCAAGCTCAGCACAAAACCCTCCAACTGAAAGATTTATTGTGCGGAAGTGACATGAAGTGAATTGATCTAGTTACACACCTTAGCTCAGGCATATCTGGCCAAACGAATGAGCCTTTCCTCCACAAAATACCACGGATCTCCAGTCAAATGCCACTGGCACTACCACTTCACCCGGCCGGCGAGCCCATCTGAGTTTCGGACTTCAGGAGCACCGTGTAGCCACCGTACCTTCGTCTCCCCGCACGGGTGGATACCCCGTTCGGACAAACAAAAAACGAAGATCAAAAAAAGGACAGGTGTCCGAGACCCAGAGACAACGATTCATGAGGGTCTAACTTAGATGAGTACAGTAGATGGCCTGAGCTCCCCACACACAGGCAGACAAAAGCGCTAAGGAGTCACCTGCTGTCAGTTTTCTCGAGGGGATGTCAGGTAGAAAGGACAGGAGACAAGAGCCTCAATCAACATGCTTGAGCATGAGCTACTTGGATTTAGCGTCAAGCAACATGCGAGAATCTCAGCACCTTGAGTGGTATTGGAGTCTCAGGCTTTGGAAAGCCTGGAAACGTGTACCCCGGTTTCCTGGCTCCAAAGCATCCGCCCAAAAGAGCATCCAACCATTTTCTGGGCCTGGAGCGTGTGTGTTTTTCAGCACAGGTGTGTTTGAAGTTGCCTCTACCTCTCCACGAAAAAGCCCTCCGTCGACATATTCCGACGATCCAGCCTAGCCAGCTGGACTTCACGGCCTCTCCAGTTGATGCATTGGCATCTGCGGTTGCCACCATCGCTGACCCTGCAGTTTTTTGTGCGTTTGCCCTCAGCGTTGGGAAAGTCAACAACCTGATTGGGGTAGGACCAGGACCAGGAAGTGGAGGAGCGAAAAATGTGGCCGCCCTTCTCTGGAAAAATGCAAAGTGAATCACTCGCTTCACATTTCAGGGTCGTTGCCAGGGCTCCAAGATGATGCTCCCTTCCGAGTCGAGATCATGCCCAACACGTAAGCCCCCACCCGGCACTCCTCCCATGGTGAAAAGCACTGCCAGCACGTGGAATGGATTCAGCCTTTCTCCCAAGAAGCAAACCTCGGGAAGCTGAGAAGGTTTCGGCACACTGGGACGCTTAAGCTGGCGGCACCAATTGCTGGATGCGGAAATCTCACCAACTGCCAACGTATCCAAATTGAACAGCGGGGTTTTGACCGCCTAGGGGGGCTGTCGGGCCACCTCCCAAAATCCATTGCTCGTGGCAGCCCTCCTTCCCCAACTTCAAACATTCCCTCTGGCCCAAGTCCCCTGGCTTCTGTTGATGTGCCGATGTGCATAAGTTCAGAACATTGGCACTGACTCAATTCAAACTTATATGGAATCTCAGGTCCACCAGGCCACCATGCACCCAAGCATGTGGCTCTCGCAAAGTCTAAAGCGGGTGGGCCACATCAGGATGGCGTCCGGGAGAAGGACACATTCTGAATTCTTGAATGCAAAGATCTTTATGGTCCGAGTTCAATTCAAAGGAACTTCCAAGTCAACACTCACCAACTAGGCTAGCCTTAGCTGCGAAGCAACCAAGCTGCCGAGAAGACCATGGTCCAAAGATTGCTGGTGGTCGAGAACATGGAGTTCGAAGCCTCGCGAGACCGGCCACCCGACTGCATCGGCGACCGGTCGACCGACCGGACAGGAACGCCGGCATCGCCCCGACTCGGCTCGGTCCGTTCACGGACCTGGGAGGTCCCAGTGGGGCGATCTGTTCAATGTCTTCTTTTCAAGGTTGCACCAAAATAAACTATATCGATATCGCTGAGTCAAGAAATTGGACCTCATCCTGGGATAGACACTGATACCAGAAATTGGGTCTCCAAGAGTGAATTACCGTAAGGAAACCACCAAGCCCTCAAGGCATTGGCATGTGTCACGGTTTGCAGATGGCTCACCTACTACTCCCTCTTCCTCTTCCTGCTTTCGTTCCACGCAACCACCGAGGTGTAATCCAACGAGAGGTTGAAGAGGTAGTTGGCCGCCAACCACGCAGGGCTCACAAATAGAGCCATGCGACCTGGAGGCAAGTGATCCAAAGACTGTCCTCATAGCTGGTCATACTTTCTCCGAAAAAAAAGAATTGGCCGCCAAGTGGCCATACTTCCTGATTCTGCTGGGCCCATTTCTGCTCGGCTCCTCACCTGGAAGCAAAAGTGAATGATCCTGTGGTCGCTTCAGTGGGATGACTCGAAGATGGTTTTGCGAGGCTCACATGCTTGTGAGAGTCGAAGTTTCCACCAACAGTCGGAAGTCAGGTCAGGTCGGTTAGTTAAGTCAGGTCGGTTTGATCAACTTAGGAACCTTCAGGCGTGACTTGCCGGCGGCTGCAGCAAGGTGCGAGCAGCCAGAAGGAGAAGCCTTGGCCGCAAGGCAGAAGCGCCGCTCGGCCCAAAAGAAATGCTAAAGGAACGCCATGCGCCCGCCATGAGTGATGCCTTCACTAGCTGACTGCAATCAAGTGAAGAGATCTGAAGAGTAATGACTCAACAAAAGGAAAAGACATTGGTCTTCGGACGCTCGGGTTTTTTTTCACAGCGTGTCCTGGCTGCCCGAGGCACCGCAGGTATTGAAGTAGGTCAGGAAGTAGGGATGGTCAAAAGACTGATCCTTGAAGATGCTCTCCTGAAAAACGCCCCCCCGATCCCTTTAGTGAAAAGAACCAAAAACAACCGAAGGCGAGAGCCGGAAGAAACTTTAACGGTGGCGCCGTTTCGGGCGGGTGACCGATGATGACCACAAACAAACAAACAAACAAACAGACCAACCAACAAACACAAAAACATCTTGCAAGACCTGACTGAAGGCCGATACAGGCCAGGACCGACCCAAAAACCAAACGCCACTGAAAACCGCCACCGAAAACCGCCACCGGACCGGTTCGGACTCTTTCACCACCCGTCTGCTCCCACGGTAGACGCGCTGGGTCTAGGCTCGATGAGCTGTGAAGCGGCCACCCAAATCAAGGCCACCACCACAATCAATGCCAGGCCTGGATGAGACCCTTCGGCGCAGACTTTGGGGGGACCTAGCAGTAAAACTGCAAGGTGAGGAAACAAGGGATCTGGGGATCTTTGTTCTCGATCGCCTGAACATGCTGGAATGGAGGGTAACCGGGTAACCAATTGTCCCTGCGTGCGCCCTGGCCTGCAGGTGCAGAATTGGAGCACTAGTTACAGGGTGCTTGGCAGCTAAAGGTGAGTATAGAACTCACTCACAAACCTTCTCTTACCGACTTCTATAGTAGAGCTTTTGAAAGGACATGTGGCCATTTAGCCAACAATCCTGTAGATCCGAATTGTTATCAAGCCGATGCGATGCGGAGCGCGTACCAAAAATAAAGCATCTGGTTATTGAAACTTAAACCTGTTTAGGAGCAAGGACGCTACTAGGGGCTCCTGGCCGTACTACTAGGTTTATTGTTTTAAGTTGGGAAGTTCGACCGCCCCCCACCTGCATAGTGGCCAGCTCGGCTCCATCGCATCGTGCCCAGCAAGGGTGTGTTGGAAGCACTCATACATGGATGGCCGCATATTGTTGTTTTTCACTTCAAACAAGCAGTTTCTGGAATGCCAACTAAGGGGGGTAGCCCAAGGGCTTCCAAATCCTTAACCCTAGCACCGAGATCAAAGCTGTGAATTTGGATGATTGCCATGAGTAGTGAAGCTGTGCAAACTGCTGCGGATTGCTATCCTTTCGCGAATAAGACCCAAAACATTGGTTTCAAGCAACTTACTGTACAGACTGTAGACCAATTTAAATGGATCCATAATGTTGTTTTGTCAGAGAAGTGTACCCAAGGGTCACAAGTCTTGATTGAAACCAAGATATCAAACGTTGTCAAACTGTTAATTGACAACAGCTTGCAAATCAAGAGTGCGTGTGGTTCCAAAGGTGAGACCCACACTCCTCCAACCTTCAAAACCATGTCTCATCTTTCGCCGAGCTTGTCAAACTTCTTGGTCTTTGGAGCTGCTTGCCTTCCAAAAAAAAACAAACAGCTGCCCACGGGTCCTTCTCACTGCAGTGGCCAAGCTCTTCAATACACCTGCGCCATGAAAAATGGCGCATGAGACGGCAGTGCGCGGTGTTTCCACGACCTTCGCTCTACACGAACCAAATTCATCGCTCCGGTATGGACCTTCGCACGGCAACGGGCCCGGGCCCGACGGGTGGACGAGGATGACTCGGTCGAAAGAACGCCGGTCACCTCGATGCCGCGCCATGACACGCCAGGGTCACAGGGGCGTCCCGGTCCGGGTGCGAGCACGTGGCCAGTGAGTTCATACGGCGTCTGTGCGTCCTCCGTGGATCTTTTTTGGGGTATGATGTTGTATGATGTGTATGGTGGGACCGAAGAATAGCTGTGAATGTATGCATTCAAGGAGACTGAGCTCAATTCAATATGAATTTGATGCGTTCAAGGAAAAGGAGCTGGTGCTACAAATGGCAGCCATCCGGACAAAAAACCTTGGCTTTGTCCGAGAACCACGAAGTACAACCTTGGGCCTCCAAAAATGGCTTCAGTGACCATCTAGAAACAGGTGCTTGCACTTGAGCTGGCGGTGCTCTTCCAAGATACTTCACTGTGGTGACGATAAGCTTAGACTTGAGGCCCCATGAGCCCGGCCCCCTTACGCCTAACACGTGTTTCACGGCCCCTTGCGAATCGGTCGAGTCTTGGCTCTTGGGAGTCGCGGGGTGGAAGTGGCTCCCATCTGGCTACCCCCCTCAGTTTCGGAAGTGAGATCCGACACCTCTCTTTTGAAAATCCAAGACTGGTGTCTTTGTGCCGGAAGGTCGACCCCAAAAAACCGGTGCGGAGCAAAGACGCGGTCGACGGGTCGTGTGCGACGGGTGTGCTTCGCCGGCTTCCGAGTTCACAGCGCTCTCGGTCCAAGCTCTTTCTCATCAGTCGTCGTCCATGAGCAGTGCGCTCGAATTCGAGATATGTAACACATGTAGGTAGCATTATGGAGAAGGCTGCCTCCGCACTTGGCTGCGAAGGACGTCGTTTGCAAAGACTCGGTGGATGACTCACACGTTTGGCCAAACATCAACAGGCCCCTGCTCTAGCTCGAGGGTCAAGGAGGGAAGATCCTCAAGGACTGCTGGTGGGGCCTCAGTGCCGGTGAGGAGGGTGCCCTAAATGCTTTATGTTTACATGTCGCAGTGGCCGGGGTTCCAAGCCGGGGGAAAAAAACTGAACCATCCGTACAAACGACCAGCCGTGCCGTGCATCCGCTCCAATAAGGTCTGATTGAGAAAGAAATCACTGCCTTTAGGAACTTCGGGAGAAAGGCTTGCATGGAATGGTCCCCAAACACGGTCCCCAAACACAGCCCAAAATACTCCATTGTACTAAAATATATGAAAGGCCCTTTATACTTTATACATATTTATTGATTAGGTCAGCATCTGGTACTGGGTGCACATTTAAAGAAATCTGTGAAACCCAAAGAGCCTTGAACTTGTGCACGATGTTGCATGAGTCATGCTTTTTTGTGGCTCTGGTGTTGTCTGTGCTCCCAGCTGATGGTGCTCTCGTGGTACGAGCTCGGGCTGGTGGCATATCCCTTGGCCTCAGCGGTGACAAGTGATTCCGGAGACAAGGCGCAGAAGCGCATGGAAGTGGATGGAAGCACGGGACACGTCGCCAGGGCATGAAGAACCCTCTACCTCTTTACTTTGCACATTGGACCGGTGGCCATCAACCTGAGTCAAACCATTGGACCGGTGGTCAGAGACAGCCATACGATCCTGAAACATGTTCAAACCAGAGGTATGGAGGGGCTATCATTGCACCCATCAACCAAGAGGGGCCGCTGGTCTTCTTGCTTCAGGCTTCAGCGTTTGTGATTTCCAAGCATAACTGTAGCCGCAACTCCCCTCCTCCAAACTGCATGCATAGGACCTTTTTGAGGTGCAAAAAAGACAAACAACTCCACACTCGCCCTATTCCACAGAAGTTTCCTCGGGTCAGAATGATCCACCTGAGGCGTTTCTTCTCGTTCTCCGAGTCTTGGCACCCGTGGCCCGTCCCGGAGCTGAGCTCCCGTGACGTTGTAGGGGCTCGTTCCGAAGTAGGGGCTTCGGACAGGACTGCCCACGAATTGGCCACCCTGCGCCGTGGTGTGCGCGTGGTTCTTTTGGTTCGGAGACGAGGTGAGCAAATATGAGCAGATACTGGAGGGGTGTCGGAAGTATCAATTCCTATTGAAAATGATTGAAGATACAGAACGAATTGGAGAGCTCCTCCCATACTGGGGACACTGATGCTCTGATACCACGTGACTTCTGGTCCCACGTGAACCATGGTCTTTATTTGAGGGGCCAATCAATTCGAAGTTCACCACATCAACTTCTAGCGGCTTTGTAAACCCTGCTGACTTCAGCACAGGGATTCGAGCAGCGAGTCGATTCTTTGGTCCTTCTCCAAGCGCCGGTGGTAGAGCTACCACGGTAGCTCCCGCGGCTCTGGTGGCTCCATGGTGGAGCGCAACGAGCCTCGTCTGCATTCATCGCCTCGTCAACGGCAGACGTCGTCTGGTGAGGGTTGACTGGAGGTCCGCCCTTTTGGCCCAAAGAGTCTGAGACAAGGAAGTTGCCTCGTACCCCTCAGCTGGAGCCTGGTGAGTCCCAAGGTACTGATGTGGTCCAACTGTTCGTCCTTGAGCAAAAACTGTTGAGCATAAAGGATTTGACGTCTTTTTCTCAGCAAAACTGTTGGGCATAGTTGGAATTCCAACAGTTCTGCAGTTCTGCATGCTCATTGCCGGTCTCATAGGAGCTGGGCAGCTGCAGCTGAGGGGATGGAGCTTCAGAAAGCCGAGCTAACGCCAACGCTACCAAAACATATTAAGATCAAAGTGAAAACATTCGGAAAGGATCGGAAAGGAACGTTTTTTGGAGAGAGGTGTTGTTCTGCGAAGATTCATATGTTTCATTTCAATAGAGAGACCCTTCAAGCGTTGGACCACTGGATTCTAGCTAAGGCCCACTCTCTTTTCAAAAGAAAAACATGTAGGGACAGTGACTTGGAGGTGAACAAGGCGCATACTCTCTTCAGCCAGAGGTCCACTTTCACAAAAGATCTCAGCTTGGCTAGCGCACCCAAAATTTTCGGCTTGACCACCAGGCAAAGGACAGAAATCCTGGAACTCGGCATGAACTAGGGAGGTCAAGTCCATAAGTGACATCACTGCCCTGCGGGCCCTGCACAATGAACTGCGTCATCCTCCTTGTTGACATGGCCGGCCAAGTCACCTCCCCCGACCAGTGCCCATGGGATCCACGTCACCACGGCCCCGACCCAGAGCCAGATCCACTGTTACCGACGTGGCCGGGCGACTGGAAGCTCATGCGAGGCCGTGCTTGCCAGCATATCCACAGACCTCCAAGTGGGGTGACTTGGGGCAATCCGAAGCTACATGCTTCTTACGATGCTTCGACTACATCAGGATAAATCCTTCCCCCAAATCTGTGTCAACCATCCTTTCACCATCCAACCTGGAAACATCGGATATCACTTCCACATCACTTCCACATACGAGTACTTACATATCTCCACATACCCTGCACATCCTCGCTGCCCCTGCCTGTGGCCCAATCCACCCTTCGAGCTCCTTCGAGCAGGGTTCCAAGACCTCCACCTTCAGCGGGAAGCACCGCTGGGTGTCATCGGAATGGCTGGCGCTGGTGTCTCCCCCGGGACACGCCGACAGGGCACCCAGCAGATCGATCTCTGCGAAGAATTCCAGGAAGTCGCCCGGACGCACCGGGCTGGCCTCGGGGAGCTTTCTCTGGGGAGTTCTCGGAGTTTGTTCTCGTCTGGGTGACGAGGTTTTATAATGGTGAAATATGGTGAATGTGTTGTCCGAGCACTTGCATGGAACTTTGAAGAGAGGGAGGTAGCTATTGTTCCTTTGGTGATGGGCGAAGCAAGAGCAGTGGGATCAAACGCCTTCAGGCAGACCGTAAGTCAAACTGGCATCAAGTCCTGGCTTCAAACAGTCTTTCTTCAGCCAACTTCTGGCAGGTGAATTTGGCATGTTGGTGGGTTGCAAAGATGTTCGGGTGATATCACGCCCCTTCCGCCTCGCAGTGTCCAAACAAAGGTGGGCCGTGACACTCTCTACCCTGGATGAACATAAAAGGTATTGCTTGTAGTACGGCCAGCAGCCCCTAGTAGCTTCTTGCTCCTAGTAGTACGGCCAGGAGCCCCTAGTAGCGTCCTTGCTCTTAGTAGCGATGCCAGGAGCCCCTAGTAGCTTCTTGTTCCTAGTAGTACGGCCAGGAGCCCCTAGTCGCGTCCTTGCTCCTAGTAGCGATGCCAGGAGCCCCTAGTAGCTTCTTGTTCCTAGTAGATCCTAGTAGAGGGTATTGACAAAATCTCTAGAAACCGTGGCCTTCATGAAGTACTGGTGCGTGTCTTTGGTAAAACCTGCCGGCCAGCAGTCAAGCGGTCGTCCGAGCTGCACGATGGACCTACCAACTCTCCACAGACTTGTGAACAAACAATCTTCAGGCGTTTTGAGCGGACAAAGCTTCAGGTTTAGGACTGATGTATCTTTCTCTAATACAACTTCAAAAAAGAAATCTATCAGATTTGCCTAACAGAACAAGATGATGTATTCTTGTGTCCAAGCCTGTGCACATGAAGACGTTCAGCACATCGTGAACATGCTTCTCAGCATCTGCCACCCCACGCTCAGCCAAAGCCCGGATCCTGGGCTAGCTCGGCTGGGCACTCAGCGAAGAATCGGTTTCAGAGCGTCATTGGGGCTCAAAATGCTCAAGTGAATTCTGAGACTTCGATGAATTCTGCTCCGCTAAAAGCGGGTTGAAAAAAAATATAAAACATAGTTGGAAGCAAGGGTGGCAAGTTCAGTTCTCTCTATTCTACTCCAAGGTCTATTGGCAAGTGTGAAGGAAGAAATCCTTCTCCATATCGAGAATGCTCCACTAGATCCAAGGTAGCACGTTCTTTCTCATTCAGATTGTCTCTCTGTCTTCCACCAGCCTCTAAAGGCGAACCAATCCAAGCGAAACCACCGCCTTTCTTTCCAACAAATCCAAGAATCAGGTTGGAGTGACAGCAGTGGTCATAATCTTCACCCCTTAACATCCGGTTGGAGTAGGGGTCGCACCGCGTCCCAATGACATCATGGACGCTCGCACCATCCTGGTCCCAGCCATACCACTGCAGGCTATCATGGGTAATGGTGGCCATTGGCCTCGCGTCGACGTCTCAGACGAGCAGACGAGCAGCGAGGCTGAGACGGAGTCGCTGAACGAGCTCGAACGAGCCTTTGATGAGCTCTGAGGGGTGACCGCTTGGATAGTCCCCCCAAGAAGAACTCTAAAGCAGTTTTTAAGGGTTGATCTTGGGATGGGTACTCTCTTCATCACTTCTCCAAATAGGTATGGCGGTATGGCATTTACAAGTCCTTCACTTGATGATCTCTGGTCATCCCAAACAATCTGGCGCAAGAAGAGCTTCGAGGTCATCCCCCGATGGGATGCAAAAACATAAACTTCTTGTCCACGTCCCCGAGTCTTCTGAATGCTTTCCTGCGATGCCTTTGAACGTGGAGAAGGCCGGCCCAGGCCCGGCTGGCCTGAGAAAAGGAAAGCAGCTCCAAAGGCGATCCCCTTTGGTCAAATGGGTCGCATGCAGCTGCCTCGTCTTACCTGGGCGTCTTCAAAAAAGGCTGAGCTGAAGGGTTTCGGCAGGGCCGTGCCCCAAGACTCTTTGGCATGAAATTCAAACAATAGACTTCAAATAAACCATGCGAAAGTGCCATCCAACACCCTCTACGCGTTTCAATGCTTCACTCTTGTGGTCTTCAGTCAAACCCCTGGACCTTTCCGATCAAATCCCTCAACTCGTGTTCCCCGCCCCCAAAGCCGGCCAGCGCCTGTGTAGAAGCGCTCTTCCAGGTTGTCCAAGCACCAGAGGTTCAGATCACCCACCTCGTTTTCCAGGTCGGATGAGATGAAAAAGCGAATCTGCAACAGTTCCTGAGTCCGAACATCTCCAATCCTCCATGTGTCCGAAAGAAGCGCGCGCGCGTGGCTTCAACACCGCGGCTGGCTCAATGAAGCCGCCCCCCCCCCCTGCCCGGTCCACGCGCGCCCGCAGGTGTGGGGTGAAACACCGGCCCAGGGCCCCGAGCCCCGCCCAGATCCCGCCGCCTGAGGGCCGTCGACGCAGTGGATCCGGAAGAAGTGGCCCCTCGGCACCTCGAAGCTCCGCGCCGCACGGGGCGGCACCTCCACCTGCCCCCGAGCGGAGCGGAGCGGAGCGTGGGATGTGACGGCACTGCGGGTGGTTGCATGGGATGTTGAAGGAACACAAGGTGTGCTGCTCCGATGGGGGCGAGGTGTGAGCCGGAAGCTTCGTGCACAATGCTGCCCATGGCCCAAGCTGATTACTTTACTTTCTGGACAACTATCAAGCCACACTAAGTAGATCAGTAGATCTAAGTAAGCAGAAGATGAAACCCAAATGTTCCCCCCTCTGACTTTTCCAACATCTCGCTACTTGAATGGTGCCAAACACAGGGGACGCATGTTTGCAAGGGCCAACCGCGACTTGCCGATGCCTCAAAGGACTTCTTCAGGCCCACCCGCGCACGCTCGTAGAAGCTTGCCTTGGTGAGGGGTGCGGCCAACTGCGGTGGATGTCGCGGGCAACTGCGAGCTTCAAACACAAGAGGAAGGGAGCAGAGTAGTAGCTTCTTGTTACTAGTAGTAATGGCCTCCAACCTAGTAGCTTCTTGTTACTAGTAGAAAGGGAGCAGAGTAGGCCGAAGTTTTGAAGGGTCTCAACCTCGTCACCGGCTTACAACTACCCAAATCATCCCAAATCTACATCATGTTGTGTGATCAAGAAAGTGGCGGGGCTCGCCTCCCCTTCAGCCCTCGTAATTGCCTCATAATGCTGTGTGTTGGGTGCAATTATTTCGCTATACTGATCGAAACCTTAGACACATACATACATGTCAATTTATTTGAATATGAAAGAGATCTCTCAGGATATAGACCTGCCCGCTCCCACTGGCCTCTGCCCCCAAAATGGCTTTGCTTTTAGTACCACCAACACATACCACCAAAACGATCGCAGGCACGTCGTACTTCGGCAGCAAATCCACGCGGTAGGCAATCACCGCCGGCTGCCGCCGCCGCGCGTCCGCATCCGCCGGAGCCCCGTCGGCGGGCGACGCCACGTCGCGCGGACGCTTCATCGGCACCAAACAGGGCAGCGTTGACAAGGCAAGGCCGGCAAGGATGAGAAAGTGATGGGCTGACATGGTTTGACATATCGACTTGATCGACCCAGATGGGACGTGCTTCAATTGCATGTCATGATCTTTTGGATCAAACCCACAAAAGACAGATGTGCACCCGGTGGAACAAATGCACGAAGTCAACCTGTATTCCTCCGCAGAAGTGCGAGGTAGGAATTGGATGGAATTGGTCTATCTAAAAATAGACTCTGTGGTGACTGTGGTGGGATTTACAGTAGTTGATCTCTTGGATCTATGACACTATGATCTGTTGTTGAGGGACTCTTCTCTTGACTCGTCCCCCAGTGTGCCTGTGCTGTGCTTTCTTTTTGACGTGCACTGAGTGAGCCGAAGCTGTTGGCAGATATCTACAAAAGTAAACGCCTGCAAGTTAAGGTTCTGATGTCAAATGCTAAAGTGTGTACTGTAATCAAGAACATCCGCTGCAAGTGTCCTCTTCCACTTTCAAAAGTTGCCAATGGCGCTACCTGTCCCCAAGCTATCATAATAGCACTAAATCAGAAGCTACCTACTTCCAAGGTCCTTGGTGCAAACAGTGGCAAACCGGAACTGTGAAGAGAAGGTACAGGGTAATTATGCACCATCAAGGATGACACAGTTCGATCTTCCATCACAATCGGCACACCAAATATCCTCCGAAACCATCCAAGCTCCTCGTCACGGAGCGGTTTCAAGCTCCGCATCAATCAGGCTTCAAGATCCTTATCGCTAGCATGTATGATCATGTAGGTCTTTATCATGGATTTTCGGGTCGAAGTGATCGATGGATCGGCCTGTCCCGATCTCTTTCAGATCCAGGTCCCCTGACTGGGCAGAAACACCATCCCATCCAGTTCCCCAACAATCCGGCCTTGTGGATAGGGACCCAAGCCTCTCAAGAGCAAAGGAGGACAAAGCAACAGGTGGATGATCAATCATGCCATGTGATGTTTTTCCTGCTCTACTGAAAGCCATGATGAACAACCATTGACGTCCTGCCTTTGAGCCTGTGTTAGAGGCAAGCTTACCTTGAATAGAGGCATCACAGTAAAGAAATGTAAAGAATGTTCAAAAGAATATGAATATGGGATAGTCAGATAGACTGAAGAGGTTGGAAATTAATCCCAGAAGTCCAAAAAATGGAAGAAAATATAAAGGGCCGAGCAAAAATAGATGTCGAATCCCAGGAAGCCCAAATAGTCCATAGATTTAGATTGAACTAAAACATACAATTATATACGTATACTAACAAACAGAATAGCATATAATAGCTGATGATGTTGGAAAGTCCACAAGTCCAAACAACTGAGCAACTAAAGAACTAGATGTGCAAACCTCTTGGACAATTTAACCCATTAAATCAAGCCATTTGTTCTTGAATGCATAAAGGTTGGTGTGTGTGTGTGTGTGTGTTTGCACGGACAAACATAAAACACATATTTGCTATACCTGTTACCAGTCTCAAAACACATCCACGACACAGAGCAAAGACTCTTGCCTCCTAGTGAATGAATCACCCCAGCTACTCTCCCAGCTACATTCCTTCGGATCAAACATCGGCAGACCCGCGGGGATGCTGCGGGGATGCCGCGGCATCCGCCTCCGCCACGCTGTCGAAGGTCTCCTCAACAATTTGGTCTCCGGATCTCGGACAGCACAGGAGGTTCAGCAAACCTGCCGCGCCACGGGTGACCCCACGGATGAGACCTGGACCTCAAGAGAGGGAAGCCGCGAGATGCGCGAAGCCTTCCTCCTTCGGATGTCCAGATGCGCTCGCTTCGATGCGTGTTCCGCGCCGCTGTGGTGTCGATGGAGCTGCAACGATGGGACTGTCGGAGCCCCAAGGATCGGATGTTGGTCGTTTGGCTCCCATTTCACCCTGTGCCCGATGGTCGTTTGGCGCGCCCATGAGGACACAAGAGCTGGCCACGCCGATCCTGGCATCGAAACTCCGCTTCCCCAGAGGTGGGAGACCCAAAATCCACCAGGAGAAGCTCGGTGGCTAAGGTAGTGATAAGTGAAATATAATACATATTTATATATATATATATACATTTGTATTTATATAGTATAGCCTCCGTGGAAGGAAGACTTCGTGCAGCCTGAGAGGACGTGATATTTGACACAAATACAGGTGGTTCTGCATAAAGAAAAGTGATGCAAAATGTGTTGTAAATCCAGATTGTTCAATCTTCCACCAACAAACTCTGTCCCACATTCAAACAAGATCCAGTCCAGAAGCCAGCGCGCGTGGCCAGGTAGTGGAAAGCGCCTGGCACACCCAAAGGACATGACATGACCTCCTGAATCTACAAGAGAAGACAAGTCTCTTCAGCAAGCATTTGGTGCTGGGCACTAGTCAAAAGGTTCAAAAGGTTGGCTTTAAGAGTAAATTGATGTGCTTTCTCTGGTGTCCCGCCTTTAAGAAGAGAGCGCAAATGAAAACAATCTTGCATCGGCTCAAAACTTTTTGCACTACCAAACCCTATCACAAGTAGTATAGTACAGGAGGTCACGTCCCTCAAGAGCCAACCCCGAAGTCGTCTCCACCTTCCTGGCCATCCCTGCCCACGTGGCCTTCCTGTGCCATCTCTTGCCCTAGCAGCTGCCAATAGCTTTGGCTGCTGGTCGCATTGGTCACCTGGTCGCATTGGTCGCCATGGCAGGTCATGGCACTGGGTCCCTGGTTGGCCACTGAGTCTATGAACCAGTCATAGACTGACCCGCTGTAAGTAGAGGACCAACGCAGCTTGACCCCACAGCCGGCAATATGAGGGAAACACACCTGGTAGGATTGAATTCATGAATTGTCCCGGCAACGGCAAGTGTTCCTTGTGGTGGTATACAATGTGATGTATCCCTCGAAGCAACATCTAGGTTTGCCTGCCCGAAGTTCAGTAGGTTCCTAGTGACTTACAAGCTTGCGAAGCATAAGGGTTTGAGTTCTGCGCCACGATCGACAAGCTTTTCGAGGCTTTAAGTCTGCCAAACAATCCACCTTGTGCATGCAGACCTTAGTAGTGCCCCGCCAGCCAGGTGGGCATCGCTGGGCTTGACTCATTGCGGAGAAGATCTCCATATCGTCCAGAAACAAAAGACCCCCCTGGCTTTCGGTCCCTTCTCGCAGCCCGCCCGTGTGGTCACCAGTCGATTTGCCTCCATCAGCAGTTCGGGGTCGACGGGCCTGGAAACAAGCGGCTGGAGTGGCTGGAGCTTCAAAGATCACAAAGGAACGATGAAACTTGGCAGCGCAAATAAAAGTAATACATCTGCGAGGTGCCAGGCATCTGCAAAATGCGCATCTCAAGGCGGTTTACAGATGCATGACTGTATGCAGGTGTTTCCCTTGGGCGTGAGCTTGATTACACCTAGCAAGTCCAAAGCAGGCTCCGTCTCCTGCTCCAAAACCCTGTAAAGAATAGCTGGCCTAAGGGCAGGTCAACCACCCCAAATCATTCTGAATTCCTGTCTTTGGCCTTTCTGAAAAGTGTGGTCCCAGGTTTTGTTGGACCGAATGGCCAGTGTGAAGAACCTGCTTCCCATCAAGAAGCATCGATTGTTGCCAGACCACACCTCTGAAAAAGCTTGTTGATGTCTTCAGTCTTGAGCCTAATGCTAGTTGCTGGTGGCTCCACCCTCCCTAGCTATTTGCCCTCTGGCCGAATGTATGCAAGCTTGCACAACATACAAAGTAAAGTGGCTCTTGCAAGCACATGGAGAAAATGGCCTTGGCTCTACCATTCACTAACTTTGGGATCCAGTCAACCAACAAGTCCAAGCAAAGTGGATGGGCATGGGAGCATGACCTGTGAGACCCACCCATTTCCGCCGGCCGGGGTGGCCTCTGAACTTCTATGTCAGATTGCAGGAGTGAGGCCTCATCCGAAGACGCCTCACAAGCCACTGCAGGCAAGTTCTCCGCTAGCTGCCGTTCTCCCCCAAAAGTCATACAGGAAGTAGAAAGTAAGTAAGGACTAAAAGGCAATGCTAAATACCCTCCAAACCAGTCTCCTCGTCATGGAGTCATGGGAACCTGTTTCTATTTGGGTCGGCCCTTCCAGTCTCGTCTCGTATCGGCACCGTCCCGTAGGGCCCAGGATGGCCCAGGGCCGCAGCCGAGCCTCGGCCGCCGTGACGTCGGCCGTCGTCTCATCGACCTCTTGAGCATCGGGTTCCAGTGAGCTTAACTCCTTCCTCAAGCTGTTCAGCTGGATGCGAATCATCCGTAGCTTCCTCAGCCAGTGGGCGGGCTAACAGGTGAGCTGCTGATAATCCTTCACGCTGAAACACCCGAGGAAACACGAAGTTGTGGGGTTTGATTCTTTCTGGTGAACTTCAAAAAAAAGATAGCTTGGTGCGAGTTGGACATTTTCATGGAGACATCACTGCCCCCAGCCCGGCAGCTGTTGGTCGTGGCTCGGAAAACCCTGCTTCAAACGGAACCTGGCTCGAGAGAGAGAGAGAGAGCCTGTCTCCCTCACCTGGCAGTCTTCTCCATACGCACGACGATCACGATTCGTGTGACAGGCACCCCACGTCTCGCATCGCATGCGGCGTCTCGCGGCGTCACTCGCCGTCACTCGCCAAGCTGCGTTTCATCCGGTCTGGTGTCCGAGAAGGCCTGGTCCGAGACAACACGCGGCGACGTGAAAGGCCCGGGTGCTCAGAATCCCCTTGGTGAAGCCCATCCAGCCTTGGTGCATGAACCTGAAACCTCTTCAGAGTTACTGGATGGTACCGGGGTCTCACTATGAAAGGCCTCACCACCGTTTCACTACAGCATGAGGAGTTCAAAACGAGACACAAGCGTTTGCCCACTGAGTTGGTCCCCCTGGACGCTCGCTCGTTGCATCGATCAGCTCTACAGCTGGCCTCTACAGCTGCGCAGACCTGCGACAGGTCTGCGCACAGGGCACGGGAGCTGTGAGCGGCATTTTTTCCTAGGTCTCTGGATTTGAGACCACTTGTTTGACCTCTGGGAGATAAATCCAGAACCGTCTCCAAAACAATGAATGTAAACAGGGCGAAAACATTGGGTCTCTGTTTGCCTTGTCATTGTCCATTTGTTTGACTAACTGGTGCACCACCCAGAATGAACAGTTTTGGACTCTTACTGTGAAGCTCGTGCTCATCCTAGAGTCCTCGATGTGGCTCCGCAACAAGCGGATGCAATGCATAAAATGTCCAAATAGCTTCTTGCTTGCTGCTGGGATAGCCTTGATGATCAAGCGCTGAAAACATGTTCAGCCAAAGAAGAAACACCAGACTCGGACACGCCGAAATTCTTCCATCAGTGTTCTTTCACCATAGTGAATGAGCTTAAGCGTTCAAGCCTACTACTCTGCTCCCTGCTTCTGAAACCCCACCTCTGCTGCAAAGGCAACGATTGCAAAGAAAAGGAATGACATCGTGCAGCACACGAAGCAATATGATGCTATAAATGTCAGATGTGTCTTAGGCAAGAGTTTTTCGGTAACGTTACAGTTTGAGGAAGAACGCATGCGTGTGTTAAATGGAGAGAAAATGGCATGCGTATGTGAAATGCACCTGATCTCTGTGTCTAATTATATAATGATAGGGACTGCATAGAATTTCGGGGTGCCGCTGTGCCGCCTCTTTCTTGTTTGGGCATTTTTTCACTTGGCGGTCATTGAGCTTATCATCAGAGCTTGCACCATTGTGTGCTTTGGTTCGGTACCGCTAATGCCTGCAATCGCACATCGCTGCCCTGTTGCAAAGCAATACATACCCACTAACGAAGTACATCTGCAGATGTTGCCCGCCTTTTCCTCAAACTAGAAGCACCTCCAGGTTTCTTGTGACACAAGAGTTCTACGCTCTGATGGCTCAGTTCTACACATGAATCGCTCACTGGTTCAGCTCCTCCCAGATCCGTTCCACCGCCACCAGGAGGAGGGCTGCACCAATCACCTGGCAGGTCATGCGAATCACCGACGCTTTGAAGAGTTGTTTGAAAAGATTCAGTAATCCTAAGTATAACTATAGATTTTGCATTTTAGCACTGGCGGTCGTAGTTCGGGAATGCGACGTGTTCTTCCAACTGGAGGATGACTTGCTGAGAAGAACAGAAGTATTTTGTGCCTTGAGCTGTTGGTCGCTCTCACAAGAACTCAAAAGTCCTCAACTCCAGATCGGGTCACATACAGGGCGAACTTGTCGGAATCATCTCGGATCAGTTGCCTTGGCAGTCAAGGTGTCACAACCACGTCGCCATCTCATCTGGGGCAACTCCATTCTCTTCGTGTCCCTCCCCTGAGCCGATTGCCCGTCACAACAACCATATCCAAAACATTCCAAAACCACATACAGTACATCAAATGATGCACAAACCAAACACACCCAGGTGCCGCTCCATGGTGTTCGCCACGATTTTGGCCTTGGCATTGATCACATCCGCCTCCGCGACTGGCACCACAATGTCCTTTCCCCGCCATTCGCCTGCGATGCCCTTGCCAAAGACCCAGCCGTCTTGGTCGGCCAACTTCAGATAGGTCTGCCCATCCTGAAGCCATGTTTCGATATGTTTCGCGAAGCAGGTCATGATCTGAAGGGATGGGAACCGACCCACCAAAGTTGTTTGGGATGGCCTTTACTTTGGCCAGGTTGTTTGAGAAGGAAGTGCGCCCAGAGCAAGTAGAAGTTGGTTGTTGGACTCTTTGAAGTACCAGAGGCTAACCAAATCGAAATGTAGAAAGCCTCTACTTGATCTGTGTCATGTGCAGAACAGTTCGACCCTGCGTCCGAATCTGATCAAAGCTTCGACCCCATGCGGTTTTGGTTGACCACAGAAATTAACAGTATTCGAGGAGTGAATAGCCTACCATTACCATGGAAGTCAACCTAAGAGGATTTAGGGCTCCAGCTTTTGACTGCCACATGAGCCGACGAAAGCCTATCATGAAGACCATCCTTGATGACCTCTTTGGTGAGTGAAGCGAGTGAAGCCATGTTGCTTTCTCCACTTACAACCCTTGCACATCAAACCAAGGACCCTCTCAAGCCTCTCTGAGCCCTTCCTTCAGCACCCCGTCCCTCGAAAAAAGATCTAACTTACTTCCCTCCTCCCTTTTCACCCGTGGCAAGAGAAGGCCTCCCACCCGAGCCCCAGGCACTTCGGCCTTCTGCTTGAGCTCTGAGGCCTGAAAGAACTCCCCCGCTTTGATCACCGAGACCCACTCGCCACTCTTCAGCTTCTTGCTCTCGGCACCCGCCAGCGTCGGCGCGTTGATGTCCGCGGCCAAGCGCACCTGGAGGGTCCGGTATGTCCGGTTCGAGGAGGTTCGAGGAGGTTCGAGGTTCGAAACCACCCCAATCCCACGATCCCCATGGACCTTGAGAAAGGAAAGACCCCGTGACCCCATGGTTTTGGAGTTTTGGACCATGTTTCCGAAGACCAGCAGAGGGGTCACCGGCTCGAGACTGTCCCACGAGAGAGGTGCCGCCTCACCTTGATGAAGTTCGGAAGGTCTTTGACAATGCCTATGGACTTTTTAAACGACCTATATATGCAGGTTGAAGACCTGAAGACCCAAGAAGCGCTACCTCTCCGGATCATTCGTGCCTGGAAACCCTCCTCCCAACCCTCCCTTCATCCTCGGTCCTAGACTAAGATACTACATCCTAGTACCTCCAACGTTGAGCATGGTCCTCAGTACCACTGGCCCCCTTCCCCACCCCCACCCCTTCGCGCGCGCCTTGATATTCGTTTCCGCCTTGAACACCCCGGTCTCCGAGTCGAACAGCCGATCCGCCCGCGGGACCCGGCTGGGACGCGACGGACGCGACGACAACGGCGGTCGTCGACCCAGAGGGGGACAGAAGGCCCAGGTCGCCCAGGTCGCCGCTCCAAGCAGAACAAGGCTGCCAAGGCGTCCCGCCATGCCAGGTGGAACAACAGCGGTGCAACAAGAACTCAAGTGGAGTCGCCCAAACTCAAGTGGGTGCGGAGCACAGGTTTTTATAAGCCTGCTTGTAGTGCCATCACTCTGCTTCAAGCAAAGGTCCACGATGATTCACCAGAGTCATGCAAATTGTGCATTGGAAGTTGTTGCAACTCAAACTTCAATAGCCTACACAATTGGCCTGGGTGAAGAAATCCTGCACATAAGACATCTTTAAGCTAACAATGAGCCAAGATGGTAGTGCCAACATGGTGTGTGAACAATCCAGGATCCAAGACTTGAATCGAAAACCCGATCGAATCCGCCATGCTTGAGTCGAGGGTACCTGTAGCCAATCAACGGGCGCCTGCAAATCTTAAGCCATACCCTGCTGTTGGGGCAAAGTTCTACAGATTCTACAGCACTCCTGCTGTGGGCGTCTCAGCTTCACAGAAAAACTAAACTCTGCCTTTCTAGGGGTGGGTTGGGTGCCTGTCTGTTCGGGACTTTTTGACAATCCTGATCTTAAGCCAAGCAACTGATCCAAGCTGAATTCAAGGATCAAACACAACCATCCATGTCAATCAGGCTTCAAGTCAGTCAGGTGTTGACTTCTCCGCGTTCCTCTCTTCTCATACTCAAGAGTGTTCACCGAAGCCTGTAGCTCCAGGCTGTGATCTTCATACAAAGGAAGTTGACCCCTGGGAGCCACCAAGCACCACCAAGCACCACGGGCACTCCTTTTGCTCACAGCTGCACTGCCGCCACCTCAAGGGACACCAGAATGACCAGACGCTTCACCGACCAAAAAACGGTCAACCACTGATTGGAAGACGCGGACTAGAATGACTAGAATTCCAATGCCCTCCAAAAGGCTGGAAAAATGCTTGGGACCTGGTGATTGGGAGGCGGTGTTAGAGGTGCCAGGGCAAAAGATGTGGAAATATATCTCAAAGATCAACTCTGAGAGGAGCATAGAGTTGCTTCAATGTTCCAATCTGACCAACGGATTGGGATTTCCATTAGCATGAAAATCAGAAGCAATAAAAAAGCTCGTGGAAGGATCTTCAGCCTTGTCTTGTCTGATCTCCACTGTAGTCAGAAGCGGGTCTCTACGGGGGAAGTGCAATACGTTCAAGGTTTTTCAGCGAGAGATTCTTTGGTGAAGAGGTTTGTTGTCGACTGCCTTGAGATGTTTGTCTCAACTGAAAGTTCTGGAAGTTTGAGATACTTTTAATATGACCTGCCGGAACCAGTTCTCTTTTTTCGCTTCCAGTTCTGCGTGCCTTGGAGTTCTCTTCCAGTTCCAGGTGAACGTGGCTTCCAGCGTATTGGGGAACAATGAATTCATGCGTGAAAATGGCAATGCGTCCCCGCGATCTTCAAGTATTCTGTGCAAGGTGAACACAATCGCACCTGTCTTCCCAAGCCATCTGACAGCGAATTGAATCACTCGTTGACTTGTAGGGTAACCCTTCTTTGTCTTTCAAAGCTTGGGATCTCAGCATGTCATGTAATCCCTTCTTACGCAAGGAACCAGGCCAGGGCTCGGGCCAGCTCCTTGTTTCCACCGCAGAAGAGGAGCCTGGTGACGGGGACGCTGGGGACGCTGGGGACGGCGTTCGTCCAGCGGCATCCTCCCTCTGGGCATCCTGGAGATGCGCGGCCGCTAACTAAGGCAACCTCCAAACCCAACGGTGTTGGAATAAGACTTCATCTGCCCCAAGCAGAAGAAAGGGTTTCCAGCTCAGAGGCTCACACAAGGGTGTCCAGTGCACCGATCCGGGTGACGAGTAGAAAAACATGGGCAGACACCGAGTAGCAGGTAAAGCCATAGATCTGTAACAGATACATGTGATCTTGTTGCCATTGGACTTGTGAGCGTTTAGCTATCACAACGATCGGAAACGGACACATGCACTCGCAAAAGGACTCGCGAAATGTGTGTATCTGAAATCAAACAACTCCTCAAACGACCCGGACCCCCTCGAAAAAAAGTAACAAAGCAGTCAACCCAAAAATGGCCACCTCTCCGCAATGCTGGGGTCCGCTAGCCTGCCTGGAGCTCGGGTCATAGGCCATGCTCCAGATCTCCCCGACGTCCGGCAAGTCCACCGAGAAACCTCAGCTTTATATACAAGGGAGAAACCTCTCGATGAGCATCTCAGACAAAAATAACCAAAGAAGTGGAACATCCGCCACCTCGGCACTCCTCGTCCCGAGTACCTTTCACCTCAACGTAGATCACCCAGCAGGGTGGCTGCTCCGTGAAGCCTGTTCTCTTCCCAGGAAGGGACTTGTTTGCACCGCAAACTCACCCAACGTGAAGAACTCCGGCTGAAAAAAACGGACGGCCAGGTTGTCGGACCTCCGACTTCCGAGCTCTGGAAGCGCTGGAGAACGGCTCCAGGTTGATCACAGAACTGCGCCACTCAAAACAATCAGCCTCCACAGTTGTTGTACTCACCAATCTCACCATGGGGCACTTTGAGATCCCACCTGGTGCTAAAACTTGTGAAAATCTCCAGTAGCACCAGAGATTTTCTTCAGCTCTCAATCCTTGACCTGGGCCCCTCGAAAAAGAGGATGCAAGCGTGAGTAGCATTCAGGATCGGCTTGCATAAGTGGCCACCAGGGCAACAAGTGCCAACCCCCCAGCGGACGACATGATGGTTCCAACACGATTCTCAGTGGGTAGACGGTGTGACAGGAATGCAACACCAACGATTGACTGAACTAAAATAGTTGGGAGTTAGAATATAGAACTTATAGAACCCCTTGCTGCACAAAAAAGAAGAAAAAGACTCCTGGTCAAAGGAAAGGAGGAAAGGGAACGCTCTCAACCCCGTTCTCCTCACCGCTCTCGCTGGCTCCACCCGCAGAGGTCGCGAGATCGCGCCGGGCGGCGAAGTTGGCCCGAGCTGAGCTGGAGCCCGGCCACGCGGCTGTTGGAGCCACCACAAAGCAATAGATCGTCGTGTGGCAGTTGCAAGAGGCTGAAGATCTGGGGCGCAAGCCAAAGGAAGGAGAACGTAGGAGAACAAGAAACCACGTCTTTTTCTTCTTTCATGTGGCTAGCACTTCTCAAGCAGTTGAACTGTTCTTCCTCTTTACAAAGAATTTGGCTTCTCAACAGGTCCCTCACATGAGTGTGGCTCTGGCTGGACCTAGTCTGGCCAATCTTCGTCTTTGGGGGGAGTTGTCAGGTTGGCCGTTGGTTTGGGAGTGATGGGAGTGTGGAGCGTCGAACATAAGAAAACCCACCTGTTTTTGCGACCTCCGACCTCCTCAACGAGCCAAAAAGGACTCATCGAGCCAAGCGCAAGCGCTGACGTCGGGGGGGCGCGCGGGTTTCCCGGGCCAAGACCGGGGACCTGTGGGACCTGTGGGAAGACCATCCACCATGCCACGCGGGGCCACGCGACGCAGCCACGCGCTGCGTGGTAAAGAAGAACTCCAGAGATGGGACAGCGAGCGTCGAGCGTGGATGCTGCGACCAAAAACGTCCATCGTACTGTGTGGGTTCGGCTGGCTTGGTTCAGTCTCCGGTCGGTGGCGACGACTCGGTGAAGACTCCAAGTATCCATCCTTTTTACGGAGAACCCAAGGGCAGGTTTGACCATCCTTCCCGCCCAAAAAAACGCATTCCCAAGCAAGAACACACACCCCGCCACGGCTGGAAAAAGAAAGAAAACACGGTGAAAAAGGGTCGCAAAAAGGACAAATTCGTTTTTTGGAACGTGCTTGCAAACTCTGTCCTTAATCCTGCCATTATGCCGGAAAACGCTCGAAAGGTGTTGGACGCCAAAGAGCGTTCTGTGCCACTACGGCCATACATCAGTCGACACCCTAAACCTAAACCCCAAGCCCTTGGTGTGTCGGTGCGGTTCTATGCGGTGCGGTTCGGGACCCCGAGCGAGCACCGGACGCCACTCCACCGGACGCGCCTTGCCCACCGTGGCGTTCATGGGGCCCCAGCGATGCTGGCCCTGCAGGTCCAACGCTGACCTGGCAGCTCGAGCGGGGCTGCCAACCCCGGGCTGGCATGGAATGAACCGGGCCAATCCCAAAACACGGCCAACGCCCTTTTTTGGCCCAAACGGTCTGTGTGTCAACTCGACTCCTCTCTTTGAATGTTGGCCAGGCCAAGCAAGGCCCCTTTTGGCAGTGCGTGTCTTGGCCTCATGACGGCTTTGCCAGCATGTCTTGTTGAAGAAGTGCCAACAAAGAAAGGGCCGCTTCCTTCTTGGCATCCTTCTTGACTCCAGCTGCTGCAGATGTAGAAATGGAACGAAGAATTGAGGAATAGTGCAAATGGCAAACCCACTCCTTGTTCAACTGCTCCGCCTTTTCTTGCAGGTCCACCTAACTTGTTTTGCCATGTGTGACATATGCGTTCACGATAGTCGTTGAAGACATTTTAAACTAGCATTCAAAAATGAATTGGACCCAGAATGTCTTACTTGAGCTTACTTAATTTGTCCCAGCCCAATAATGTCCAGAATCCTCATTGCTCCCTGCACTCCGCTGGCCTTAGTCTTCTTGCAGAACAAGTTGAGCACCTGCAGTGCCTCAGATGCTGCCAAACTCCCAAACAAGACCTCCTTGGCATTCCGCTCTCGCGCCCTCTGAGCTGAGACCTCCTGACCAGGATCTGCTGCTGCTGGCACCTCAAAGGTCCGAATCATCTCCAACTGCTGCTGCTCTGCAGCAGCCAAGGCGCTGGTCGGCCGGTCCGACCGCTCCGCCAGCACCACATAGGCAGACTCGGCTTGGCGGGCGCGGCCACGGCCCTGGACGAAGGACACGGAGTTCACCATCGGGTCAAAGCGGATGACGCAATTGGCAGCTGGAACATCCATGCCCTCCTCTGCCACCACTGTGGCAACAAGGAGGTTCACAGAGCCCACAGAAAAAGCTCTAAGCCGCTGCTCAGAGTCTTTGGCGGAAATGGAGAGACTGGGCGTGGCAGGTGAGGATGAAGCATAAATGCAAGCAGGACGGAAGAGGTGGTTCAGATCCTGATCATTCAGAATGAAATGCTCCAAGATGTGAGTCACAATCCGCTGCTGCACGAAGAGTATGCCACGGAACTCACCGTGTGATGCTGTCAACATGTCATGTTTGTAAAGCAAAATGTCCTTCAAATGCTCCAGGCGTGGAAAGCTGTCCGGGATCCTCTGCCAAAAGCCAGAATGTACGGCTCTAACTTCTGGCGGCCATCGCTGGCATTGTCTTTCTCCTGCCATGTCCAGAAACATGGCTACAGCATCCTCCGCCTCCTCCCAGGAGGTCACAAGAACTCGGAGTGCTTCATACCAATGCTCCATGGAGGCATACCTCACCGGCACAAGAAGAGCTCCAAACTCCCAGGGACAAGAAGAAAACAGAGACAAAACTGTCCATAAGGGACAAGGTCGAAGAAAACATGCCTCAGAAAGCCAAGATGCAACACAGAGCTTGAGGCTGCTTTGTGGGCATACTCACCCCATTTCCTAGGAGCGTGCCTCTGCAGTGGTGAAGTGAATGTCGTGTCTGCAACCGCCAGCGCGTTCTCCATGGCTCGCACCACCAGGAAAAGTCTTTGCGCAAAAGGAGTTGCAGAGCCATCCTGTGCTACAGACCCTGCGTCAAACCTAAATCACATATATAATGGTTGGAAGATTGTTACTCTCTGTCCAACCTATCAACATCCAAACCTATCAACCTGCGACAAGTTGAGAAGTGCCCTGTCGTTCCCATTCTGGAGAAACATGAAACACATTGAAAAACAGCCCCAGCTCCTTGAGACGTTGGAAGAAGGTCTGCGCCATCAGGTGGGGTTTTCGCTGCGCAGGTGCTAGCACCGCTCCGTGGGCTGCAGCCGGCAGGTTGATGGGAAGGACCTCAGCCTCAGCACCGCGACTCCGAAAGCCGCTTGCTTCAAGCTCCTCCTCGCTGGCGGTCTCCTGAGAATCAATCAACCAGGTTGGGGAGCGTTCTTGAGGTGTAGTTCTGCAGCCCTTCTGGCAAGTTATGGCTTCCCTAATGGCACATGATCCTAGTCTTGCGTATGTCCTGGCTAGCACAGATCAGGGTGCTTCTGGCTTCTCTAATCAAGACATGGTAAGATTGATCGATAGTTGGCACCCGTAGACGGAACACGAGGGGAACACGAGGAAACTGAGCTGCGAAAATGGTTTTACGGAGAGCCAGTGTAGGGATCACAGGTCATGGGAGTAGTAGCTTCAAACAGCCACACACAGCTGACAGGAGCTGAAAAATGCGAAGCCCATATCAAGCTAAAGCTTTCAGCTATCCAGGGCCAGGGAGGGAAAACTTCTTCAGCAAATACAAGATTCTAAGCACTTGATCTGTAGCTCCCTGCAGATCCGCAAGACGTCTTTCTCCACTTTGCTCTCCCCCAGGGCATAGGTCAGAGATGCAGTCAAGCCGATGATTTGGGGACTTGCACAGGGAATTCTTAGGGATTTGAAGTGCAAGCTTCCGGTATGGATGATCCTTCAAGACATGGTGAACTTCATCAAAGACAACCAACTTGAAGGAGCTCCAGGCTAGGCCTGTCACTTTGCTTTGAATGGTCTGGAAGGCCTTCGGGGTCGAGACCAAGACGTCAAAGTGCTCAGGTAGCTCCAGACCTCCATGATATCGTCCTACCACCAAGCCGCTCCACCCCTCGATGGCACTTGCCTGCTGATCCACCAACAAACAGGTGGGCACCAAAAACAGCCCACGACCTCCGCATCGGCGAATCACTTCCGAAGCGATCAATGTCTTCCCTGCCCCCGTGGGCAAGACGACGATAGAGTTTCCTTTCTCTTCCACTGCCTGCGCAATGCGCAACTGATAATGTCTCAGCCTCATTGGGAAAAGGTCAGTGATCGACACAGCCCTGAGCTGAAAACACTACGGACCACACAGGTTAATCAAGTTGGTATCCAGTGCAACATGAATCTTGAGACGGATCACACTCCCCTTGGTTCTTAAAACATTCCCATCTTTGCAGCCTCATAGACTCATAGACCAAGACAGCGAGAGACAGCGAGAGAGTCAGACTGAGAGAGTGACTATGAGAGTAAGCGTAAGTGGGTGGGCGGGTGGGTGCGTGTCTCCAGCACAGATAAAAAGATAGATGGTGCGCTTTCGAGGCTTACAAAGCTTTGTATTTTGCCTGTTGTTTGTTGCGCTGTCCAGCGGGCCCAAGGGGCTGGCCCCAGTTTCAGCTTGGTTGAGGATAAGCAAATGAGGGGCTCATAATTGTTTTGCGTTGTACTGCCACCAGTAAGAAAGGGGAAACTTGACTCTTGGTCTCTTCCCAGAGGTACGGCTTCTTTTTCAACAGAACATCTATATAATACATAGACATAGATGGATTCAGAGGCCACAATTGAAATGTTGTCTGCAAAAGCACCCGTGGAATTGGGTTTCAGATTGTGTGATGCAGTCTTGATACCTGAGTCGGCCTTGGTTTTAAAAAAATGCAATGAAAGTACGTGTTCGTCCAACTTTACAAAATGAAGGACCCTATCAAATGTTGTCATGACCCATGACCATAAGAAAAATGGTGACAGTTGTCTTGTCAAAATGATCTTGCCCATGTGTTCTTCTCCAAAGCAGCCTCATTCAACACACCCCCTCTGGTTGCGAGCTAGGGTGAGTGCTGTTCATCCCGCGCTTCTCCGCTGGGCCACCGCACATCAGCTCCGACCAGCCGCCGCTGCCTCAGAAGCGGGCAGCGCAGCCACTGGTGGGCCTCCAAGCTCGGCAGCCTCAAAAAAAAGCCCTTGAGAATCCCAGTTCTCGAAGCTTCCAGCACCAGCCCAGTCCCGCGGATCACAGTCCCCAGACCCAAAAGCTGGAGGCGAAGACCGTCCCGAGACCCGTCTCGGGTCCGAGCAAAGCAACAGCTCCTCGGTCACCTCCAAGTGCCACACCTGGCGGATGAGGCGATTTGAAAGGGTGGATCTTCCCAAGAATGCAAAAAACAGGACCTGGTCATAGTGGGACTTTCCTTGGCAGCATCGTAGTGGCAGAAAACTGCACATCGAGCCGCTCGGGCCTCAAATCCTAGTCAAAGATAGTTTATGATAGTTTCACCTATATATCAACCTGTGGAGGTACATGCTGCTTTGAACACGGAATGTGCTGGTCTTGCAGCAATGTCAGGTATGGTCAGCTGGCCTCCTCCACGGAGGACTCGGCTCGAAAGCGCACCTCGCCTGCCAAAACAGAATTTTCTGAAACCAGCTACACTATACCAGCTGCACTCAGGACCACTTTTGGGGAACCATACTTTGTGCTCTGCGACCCTCACTTGGGAATGACTCAAACGATCCAAGGAAAGAACCCCCCTTAGTCATCATCCTGCGTGATGCTTGTGCAGGTCATCTCGGAATACATGTTCCAACGCGTGAAAGGCGCGTCTGGCTTCTGGGTGTCCACTGGAAAGAACGAGGAATCCATAGGTCTGGTCATGACGCAAAAGCGGGACCAATCCATTGAGTCAAATCAGTGTTTTTTACTGTAAAGAAAAGGAATCAAGCATATGATGCTGCATATGGTACCTGGTACCTGTTTCATCCTTTTTCTGGTTTGGAATCACAGCTGAGAGTTGCAAATGTTCCCTCCACTAAAAGTTCCGAAAAGCTTAAACACCCTAAACATCCCTAAACCATGAAATGTGTTTGTACTGTGATGGGGGTTTGGGTTAAGGGATGTTAAGGGTAACTTAGTCAAACAATCTTCCGTGGTCGCGGGATTTTTCCGCTCGTGCTTTTTTGTCACATCCCACCCGCTTAAAGTTCCCTTTACTTCGGTGATGTATACAAAACCCCTTTCAAGACGAGACTAAAGCCATTTGATGTGGAAGTCCTTCAATGGACCATTCCGTATAATGTAGACTCTTGATTAATGTGTGCCCCCTCCATTTGGATTGCAAAGCCTCTTTATATGGGTGGGTTTATTGATCAAGAGTCTACATGATATGGTGTTTCTCTCTCTCTCTCTCAAATGAGTTGGACGGTGACGGTGTTAGTCGTTCGAGACACCTGATCATCTCTCAACATGCTTCATCACGCATATTGCTTGGAGACAGCACACCCGTAGCAAGTAATCAGGTCATCCTTGAGGTTTCCCCACATCCTATGTATCAGTATGCAGCCTGGTCAGAAGTAGGTGTGGTTCATCGATACAAATCACCTCATGGACAGACCCTGCGAGTCCCTCCGTTTCAGCCCAAAAACATAGTTCTTCTTCACAACCTCCTATTCCCAGAGCCACCCTAGCTGAGATCGCTTGCTTGACATGCGTCCCCATCCATTCTACATGGCACAAGACCAAGGTAAGGCCAAGGTTCTCGATATGCTCACATGACTTTTGAGGGCTGGATCAAACTATACTCGGTCTTTAAGGGGGCTGAATCCAGCGCCTGTGGCAGAATCCAGCGCTGTCACCTCAAGCAAGGACACAGCTGGCCACCACCCACCAAGTCCACCAAGTCCACCAAGTCCACCAAGTGCCCGGTGTTCATGAGCAAATCCAAGCTTTGTTCAGTCTTGGGGCCCTTAGGGGTTGGCTCGGAACGCACCCTCCAACTCCAAATTCCAAATGTCGGCTGTCCGGGGTCCCTCCGTCCGAGCTCTGTGAAACACAGGGAGCTGCCCTGTATATGGTGGGTCAAAATCAGGTCCACCTACCAGGATAGGCGGGCTCCAGGTTTGGACCCACAGCTGACTCGGCTTCATCCAGATGATGGACACGGCTTCAGCCAGAACCTGCGACTCATGGACCGCCTCTTTCACCGCCGTAAGACGAAATCAATCCGCCGGCCTTTCGTTGCCACGTTCGCTGGTCATGGCGCCGGCTGGTCATGGCGCTGCAAAATCGCGCGCCCGCCCCTGAGCCACTGGCCATGCCATTCTCTCCGCCGCAAAAGGCCACACCTACAAAAAGCCGTGCAAGTCCCGTGAGATGAAACAGTGTAACTGACCAACCAACAGAGCCAGCTTTCAGCACACGGAGCTCACAAAAAAAGACCGGTCACGAAGGTGGAAGGACTTGGGGGACAGTCTCTCCATCGTGTCCTCTGGTCTCTCCATCGTGTCCTCTGGGCCTCCATCACGTGAAAGAGCAGTTACGATCTCGGAAAGGGACGATGTGTGGCCGAGAATTGCAGCAAGCAGCTATCTAAGTGTCTAGGTGACCGAATGTTCCAACAAGAAGGTGAAGGATTCCCAAAAATATTTGCGCGGGCGTGTTTGGCGTCAGGCTGGCCCGCATCACTGGTTCAGCTTGCCGCTGTCAAGGTGCATGTTCCGAGAGATTTTTTTGTTCACAATGGTTTCCTCTATCGAGGTCAAAAGGATGATTAAAAAATTAAAGTTGACCTCCATATTGAGAACTGGATTAATCAATATTGATTGATGGGGATGCTCATACATCAATATTGGGCATGCTCATCAATATCTGAGAGCTGGATTGATGGAGATGTTTAGCATCACAGCTAGCATTCCTTTTTGTACATATCCGTCGGGAAGCTGGTTTGAAGGGTTGAGGTAAATGGAGGCACAAAGCATTTTGGCTACATCCTCTATTCCCAGCTTTACTCTATCAACCCGAAGAGCGACAAAGAAAGCCTTGATACCCAAGGTATGTCATTATGTGCTTGTGGTGCACGAGAATGTTGGATGACGTCAAGCGTCAAGCTTCCCAAAATGGTGATGTTGCCATCAAGAACCTGGAATGGTAGGGAAGTTTGCTTTTGAAGCCCATCTCACATGAAACGCTGACAAAAGAAACTTTGCTGCCGGGATGATCCAAGAAGCTTCGCTGGCCCCCACTTTTTGTGATGGCCTACATCAGCGCTTCACTTCTCCGAAGGTTGTTGGATCATATAGGATGTTGCAACAGACTCCTGGACAACAACTCGACCAATACCTCCAAGAACAGAATCCATGGCTTCTGGCACCTCTATGAGACAGTGTCTTAGACACATCATCGCTCCGCTCCAATCACCCAAATCGAACCCAAAACGTCCGACTGAGCTCGAGGCATATCTCCCAACTCCAGGATCGGAGCTGAAGAGCACCTCTCCAGACCTGGTGAGCTCCCTCAAACCCCAGAGGCTCGCTCCGTGGAGCTCATGGGTGTTTTCCAGAGGGCGGACGGTCCGCTTTCCGGACCGTCCGGACTGCAAAACGCCTTGGACTCTGAGCAAAGCTTGTACTCCTCATGTGAACAACGAAGCACCCGTTTTGCACAGTGAAGCCCCACGATTGAAGCTAGGTGGATTGAACTGCGCTGCTATTCCACGGGATCCTTATGCTGACTCCTATACCCACCCGCCCAGGTTGGTTTGAGGAAATCTCCAAGTGGTCCAAGACGACCCCTTTTCGATGGACCGATTGTCGGTCCTGTTCATCACCATTGATCCCAAGTCCAGGTCAATCCCCCCAACTAGGCATTCTTGATTCATCTCCAGCTGCATAGCTACAAATGGATCCAAAATCATCCAGGACCCGCGAAGAAGCTGCCTCGGCCTTGGAAGAAGCTTCCCTGGCCTCCCTGGCCCAGGTCTCCGGGTTTCCCAGCTCGGCATCCAACGATGCCACCCGTGCCGTGTGCTCTGGCCTGGCTGGTGGGTAGGGTGAGGATGGGTGAGGTGGCCAAGGTCCAACTTCAAGGGTGAACTGCCTGAATCCGAATCTCGTGAACTCTGGATTTGTGGGCTGGAGTTTCATATTTCTCTGGATTCTTCCAGACAGAGCAGCAGATGATGAGGTTGCTGCCGTATGTATGTTCGAGGATCAACCCTTTGAAAAAGAACTTGATTTGAGATGTCCCCCAAGCTTATCATACTAATCATACATACTAATGAAGGTGTAGACAGGGTTGAATTGATTCAATACAAGGCTACACAAACTTCTCGATGTTGACTGAATTTGCATCAACAAATCCCTGACATCGTGCTGCCATAGGATGCAGCTGTGATTGGGAAAGATGCGCGAAGCTTGGTAGGCAGGTAAGGTAAGGTAAGGTAAGGTAAGCTGAAAGGCAGGCAGCCAGCCAGCCAGGCAGCCAGCCAAATTTTGTGTAATCTTTCCACACAGAATTGCATACTCTCTTGCGATCATTGTACCACCCGGCTTTCCAACCCTTGCCATGAAAAAAAGCCATAAGAACCATTTGGGTAAAAGATTTAGCTGCACTTGTACCAAATACCCGAATACCCTGGAAGTCAAACATTCAGCTCTCAAATACCCTGGCCATCTGCACTTGACAGATTCCTGCCCCAGCCACCGCCAGTCTGAGACCTGCTCCAGCTGCCACCGCACACGACCCGCGACCCTGAAGAGCAAAGGCTCCAGACCTGGGAGAAGACGCATTTCACGCGGTTCAGCTGATTCAGCTGAAGGTCCCACGGATGAGGGACCTTGTTCTAAGTGGCACGCTTTAAGGTTCCGCCCCCGAAGAGCTCGGGAGGGGTAAGCCCCGGAAGACCGAGTGGAAATGCTTCTCTTCCACTGAGTTTCTGCAAAACAAACAAAAAGTGACAGTACTACATTGAACACCTGCAATTAGGTGTGTCCCATCTTGCAAGTGGGATGAAGAAGATATTAAAAAAACACCTGAGGTTCCAGCTGCCCCGATGCCAGCATCGACACAGTAGCCTCGGACCAGCAGGTCGTTTCACTGAACGAAGATGCAAAGAACCCCCATCGAAGAGGGACTTCAGAGCTCAACTGATATGGTTTTCACTTCTGAACCTCTGTGGACCCGCATTGACACTCCTTTTCATCTGCGAATATGGGGGGGGCCGCCCCCAGGCGTTTGTTGTTGCCATCCACTCCCGGTGTATGTGCGAGTGTGAAAAAGACGGGCCACCTGATGTTTGACCCAGCCAAAACGAAATTCTCCAGGGTCCGAAGTCTAAGAAGGCCCTCCTTTCCCCAGGTCCGTCTTTTTGGCCCATCTCAGGCCATCCTGGATCTTTAGGGTCCAAAGGGTGCTCACCAGCATCGCAAGGACTCCCATCTTGGCTCTGGACGCAGAGATCCGCCCGAATCCACACCTGGGCGATGCCCAAGCACCACCGAAGCCGTGTGTCAGACTTCTTCTCCCGGAGGCTCTTGTAGCGACAGAGCTTGCTCAACCTCTTGTAGCTACCCTCAACGGTACCCAGAACCTACCCCCTCCAACGTCGATCGCCTCTCGGTGACTCGGCAGCAGTCGGCTGGGCCTCTGACCTGCCACTTTGTGCACCTCAGTCGGCTGGGCAGATCCAAAGGGAAGTCATCTTCCAATCTCTCAACAAGGCGAGACCTAGGGAGCTAGACTCCTACACAGTCCATCCTGCCACCAATAGGGTTAGGAGATGTTAGGGATATTGAATCCAAGTGATTCCCAAGTGATTCCAAGTCAATCCCTCGGCCCTTTTGGTCTGGCATGGATATCGCTTCTGGTCTGTTCTTGTCCACATCACCAAACCCACCGTCGTCCGTCTTCCTCGGTTGTTACTCCACCGCTCAGTCGGCCACTCTTCCGCCTCCCGCGTAGATCGCGAGATTCGATGCTGGAGACCAGGCCACACGCGCGTACCTGGGACGACGAACGGATCGACGAACGGATTGCTCGACCTACCGGGGGGGGTGATGCTAGGTGTAACATCTCACGTTGAGATGCTTCGTTTGCCATCAAGGTGGAGTATCATGAGCCACAGGAAGATCTGGCTGCCAAAGATCGGCTGCCAAATAAGTTGGTGTCTCCATTGACGAATCTATTTTTATAATGCATTCCCTCTGCTTTTTGGTGCTGCACTTGGCAGTACTCTTCCAGCTCAGCTTCCAGCTCTCCCACATCGGCATCCTCAGCATCTCTCTCTCCCTCTCTCTCTCTCTCTCTCTCTCTGTCTGTCTGTCTGTCTGGGGTGAGAATACCACGTTCTTGATGCGGAACTCTCATGGGAAGAGGGAAGAGAAGCTAGGAGAAACCACACCCCAACGATTTGGTGCAGTTACCTCAAAGGCAACGACATTCCCCTAAACAGTTCATTTCAACAGAGGTTTCTGGCGTCAGCGCTCCCAATCACTGGAACAGTTGATGGCTTCCTCCACAAGTTTGTTTTGAGCCCTCCAAAAAGAATGGAAACGACACCATTAGTTTGTAATTAATCATCGCTTATACATAAAGAAAGAATAGTAGCTTTATTGTTCCTAGTAGTAAGGCCAGGAGCCCCTATAGCAGCGTCGTTGCTCCAAGTAGCGATGCCCTTTGCTCCTAGTAGCGTCCTTCCTTGTTCCTAGTAGCTACCAATACTTGAACCTCCATAAGATGATCCACACTCTTCCCAGCTCTTCCACTCTTCGTCCTCTGCAGCATGCAGCGTTCCAGAACCCTGTCTCCCTATCTCGGTGCCCAGCCAAGCTCCAGCAGGCACTCTCTCCGGTGATGGCTGAAACCTGAGACACTCCGGCAGCGACGAAGGTTTCTACGGCTAAGGGTCCGGTTGAGTCTGTCAGATCCTACCTCCCACCTGGGATGGAGTGGTTCCGAAGAGGTCCCTGGAATTCTGAAAACCTCGCTGGACATCCGTTTTGAGCCATCGGTGAAGGGTTTTTGACGGGCTGGTGGAAGGGACCGCCATAGTTCCTTCTACAAACAACACGGAGATTCGTGGGTGGGGCTTCAACCACCCTTTAATATTAAAGCTGCGAATTGAAGGAACATCTCGGGGCACCCAAAAGACGCACCATTGAAATCGATTGCGTTGATAGAAAAATGAGTTTCAGGTGGTTTTGAGCACGTTCAAGAGTCATTGGAACACCAAGATTCACAAAGGCATGTCTTTTTCCAATTGGAAGTGCCCATCCTCCACGCTCGAACATCAGCCAAAACCGCCCAAAAGTTGGCGCACTCCTGATTGGGACGGATTGTCGTCGAGGTCACAAGGCCCAAATTATCGACCAAGAAGGGTTTGTGAACTCATCTGGGGACCAAAGACTTTCTGCAAATCTGATTGCGTCCAATCTTCAAGTAGCCGGCATTGCCAGTCCAACCGCTTGCACACAGCCTTGGTGCAGGCGGTGCTTGGCGCTTTTCGCCATCACGCTCCAAGGTATAGTGTTCAGTTCAGTGAATCCATTGTTTCTTGATTGGACCGTTGTTCAGCAGGTGGACGTAAAGTTGTCGGGAACATACTCCACATATTCGCTCGTCTGGTCCGGAACCATTGCCAACCAACGGGGGTTGGACATATTGACATGCCAATGCCAATAACCTGCTTCAGTTTCTCGTCCTTACTATTTACATCTATTTACTATATACTGCGAACAAATTCTAGGTGCTTCCAAGAACCTGCAGAAAATGAGGAGCCAACCACAAGTCAAGCATTGTTTGAGAAAGTTGATGGCTCTTCAACGTGGTGAGGCCATCTGAGCACGCGACACCAGATCAGAACCGGGCACGACAGCAGTGTGAGAGATTGACTCCTGCAATAAGGTCGATCGATAGGTTGGTGGGGATGCAAATCCAAGAGAATTCTTGTCCTTAGACTCAATCATTTCGGACCCCTTCCCGCATGATCCGCAAAAAACACCTGCCATGTGTTCGAACAAGCGGAGATTCAGATTCAGTGGCCGTCGAAAAAACACGCGTGCGATTATCTCTAACAAAGGTCCAGTGGAGTTGCCAGCGCTGCGAGTCAAGACCTGGACACCCCAAAACCTGGGTACGTTAGCACCCCACTCCATCAAGTTTGGCAGGGTCAGCTTGGTCTGCCAAGACCTGGGTGTTGAACCAGCACTCAAGTACGCTAAATCCATCAGGTCCCTACGCAACTGCCTCTCCATTGGCAATGGCCCCACCCCCCAACCATGTCCCCACATGATGTGATCGCGCGAGCAGTCCAGTCCCGAGCTGGAAGACCACAGTAGTTTCCCGCTGAGAGGGTCAAGCCTGGTGTTTTTGTGTTTTTGCGGTGGAGTGGTGACCTCACCCTCATCTGAGCAAGCGGGCCAAAGTCAAGACTGGAGCCCGATGTGATAGCGAAGGGCCGCTGCTGCTTCCGACGTCTTGTTGAGAGCCAATCCGTGCATCATTACACCCTCCTCACATGGAATTATGTCTGTTGACGGCGACAACCTCAGCCTGACTATTGCGTGACGAAGAGAATGTACGATTGCCGGTCCAGAAAAAAAATGTTGCCAACACGGCAACCCAAAAGGGATCACCCCATGGAATGTCCAGCAGAAGGCACATGGCAAGGGAGGAAATCGTCTTTTTTGCAGCCTCTGCCATGATGAAATACTTCAAGGACTGATAGCAGGTTAAATAGTGCAGGTTACTCTGAACAGTGTGGTTTTCAATTGCCACAGGAAAAGAACCTGCGTTCGTCAAGTCCTTCCTTTCTCACCAAATTCCAGGAAACCTTTGCTATGCCATCTCTCCGGGGCTTTGAGGAGAACCGCATGCTTGTCATGTTCGTCGGCAACACACATAGAATCGACACACACGCTGGATGTCCTGAAGTGTTTTGATGGTGGCCAGTCAACACCTGCATGGTTGGTTGCTTGGGCTCTTCATCTCCAAGCATGCCTCAAGTTGTCTACCATCCTGATACAGAGCGTGGCTTCAGTTGCTTAAGCTCACTGAGACTGAGTTGGTGGTCAATTTCAGTGCTGCATTTACACGGCTTCCCCGACCTGAACCAGCCAGCATTGGCACCTTAACATGCCTGGTAGTCTGGTAGTCTAGTGTGGGGATGTTCGCAGCAACCCGGTCTGCCAACACGCACGGGCTGCTCGAGAAGCGTGGACAGGATCAACCGGTGGCGGGTTGACATCACCGGTATCTGGGAGGACGGACCAAAGTCAGGGCGCGATGGGGCAGGGGATGATCGCTGCTGTGTCCAACACGCTGGATCATCCGACATCCGACTGCAACATCAAGCACAGTTGAAAGCCAAAAACCGATGCCCAATCATCGCAACCTCCACGTGTTCTGCGTGCGACAACCACAGCTTGTTTGACGAGAGTTGAACCTCAAGGAGGTTCGGGATGCATGATTCTGCTGGGTGGCAGCGTCAAGGACTTTTGAGGAGGAATGTCCCATAAAAGGTTTCGAGGCAACTCGCCGTTGTGAACCAGCGGGCTCTCTATCGCCACAGAAAACAAGATTTCCGAAACGGAAGAGCGGTTCAAGAAAGGGCATTCTAGGTCTTCCAACGCACACGGCCAGCTTCTCCAGGTCTAGGTCTAGGTCTACAGTGACGGACACCATCTTAGAGCACCATCGTTCTAGTTTATCACTGTATCACTTAGAGCACACCCAAAAACACACCTAGAAGTACTGCTATGTATATATTTAGTGTAGCCACTTAGAACCTCGGAAACGATATCTGAAACCATGTCTGCGGCAACCTATCCAACAATATCTCACCTCATCAGCAACTCTATTGACATCTATTCTAACATCAAGTCAGGAACGTGCTTCATCATAGACTACACTGGGGTGCCAAAAGTTGCGCTTCTTGACTTCTAAAACATCACAA